ATTCCCTTGGCACGACTAAATTCTTCATAGTTGACGGGAGCATTGTTAACGACCCGAATACCATGTGCGAACAATTCATCAAGCACTTCTCGCAGTGCTACAAAACTGAAACGGAAAACTCCATCATTACATTTCCAATGCTGACATCCAGACATCTGTCGAAAATTGATTTTACACCCTCCAACATCAAGCAGGCCATAGCTGCCCTGAAAAAGTTTTATGATGGTGGACCTGACGGGATACCTTCATCATTTGTGAAATATGGAAGTAGAGAATTTCCACTATTTTGTTTGAAACTTTTCAATCTATCTATGGAATATGGGACCTATCCATCTGTATGGAAAACATCCCTTATGACCCCTAGATTCAAAACAGGACCACGTAGTGATATTATTAACTATAGGCCAATTAATTTGACATCCGTGCTCTCAAGAACCATGGAAAAAATCAACCACAAACATCTATTATAATTTTTACTTTCGGCTAATCTGATCAGCCCATCCCAACACGGGCTTATCACTAAACGCTCATGTTTCACATCGCACCTGGAGTTTTTTGATCAAATTACCCAGAGAAGAGATGTTGGTCAGTCAGTGATAATTCTTTACTTCGATTTTAGTAAGGCTTTCGACAGTGTCTTACACAAACTTCTTCTTTTAAAACCCTCTTCATTTGGCATACAAAATTCTCTTTTATCTTGGCTCAAAACTTTTTTAGAAGGACGTAGCCAAATCGTTCACTTTGGATCTTGCTACTCTCAACCTGTGAATGTAACCAGTGGGGTTATACAAGGAAGTGTGGTTGGTCCATTACTCTTTCTCCTTTTTATCAATGACGCGTGTTTATTCTTTCAGTATGGTAAACCTTTCTTTTTTGCCGATGACCTAAAAATAGTTTATTCATTCTCTTCTCCCACCAAAGAAAGCTATATTTCAGCGGTAATCCAAGAAGAAATAAACAAGTTGTACGAATGGATTGTTTCGTGGAATATACCACTTAATGTTGACAAAAGTGGATTTATTCACGTTGACCGCTGCCTTAAATCTGACTATACACAGACATACACTGAAGCCTCTTAACACTGTTTGTGACTTGGGTTTAAGACATAGCAACAGTCTGAACTTTTCTGAGCACATTGTATCTCAAGTATCCAAAGCTAGAAAGCTGATCGGATTGATAATGATAAACTTTAATAATATGGAATCGAGATTATTATTATACAGAAAATGTATCTTACCCATTCTTGAATATGGTATTTTAGTTTACAGTAATTGCTGACATAATGACCTGATTAAAATTGAAGGTGTTCAAAGAAAGTTCACCAAAGCTGTTCTGGGGTATTCCGATAACAAAGATTATCACCAAAGATGTCAACAACTCAACTTAGAACGTTTTTGGATCAGACGTATCAAATTAAATCTTGTCTTTATCTACCGGCTTATTAACGGTATTTCCTACTCTTCGGTATCCACCCCTTCATACCTTATGATGTCATCCCACAATCTACGCAATAAGGAGAATATTCTAGGGATTCCAAGAACCCACACAAACTTACGTCAGAATTTTTTCCTTATTCGCTACTCAACCATGTGGAACAGACTACCAGTGAACCTCCTTTGCAGTGAAACTACAACCCGGTTCAGAAGTCTCCTTAATGAGTATCTTTCCGAAAGTGGATTATTTCACCTATTGAATATCAATGTATTCAACAATGATTTATACAAACAAGGTCCGTCATCCATTTAATTGCCTGAAAAGCAAAATAAAACCTTTAAGTCTTTTCACGTCTATTTCATTTCTATTCATCTCAATATATGAAGTCTGCTTATGTTCGTATCTATAATTATTACTGTTATCAATATCATTATTGTTCCCCCGACACATTAGATATTCCTTTTATATCTTCTTATCCTTCTTAACATATTTAATTCCTGACTGTCTTTTGAAATTAATTGTGACTTTCATAGCATCATTCTTAATTATTATTGCACATATGTTTATACTAATATCCGGTTTTCACACTGCATATTATTACATAAATCTACATGGTATTTATCCGAGTGCTTTAGAGGATTTTTATTTTATTTTTCTAAATTGTTGGTTTCCTTCTTAGGTTGATATTCATTACGCAATTATTATTCTTATCATGGATGAAACTTTTCACTAGGTGTTCACTTCTTTTCTTTCTTCTTTCCCTCTAAATAAATATTCTTAGGATTACGAAGTTTGTAATTAAGACAATAACTTGTGTTACACTTAAATTAACTTCTCAGACCCGTTTTATCTTCACTATGCATATATGACTCATACATATTGATATTTCATTATCCTTTTCATTCAATTGAGACTTTCATTGCATCACTCCAAACTATGACTGCACAAACATTTATTCTAGCGTCATATCTTACTGAAATTATAAGTTATTTTTTCTTAATTATTTTTGTTACTAATTTAACGATACACACATAGTCGTTTATTCTTGTTCTGTGTTCATAAACACGCCTATTAGACTGTTTGCGTATTTCACGTCTCCTTATTTTCTCCTTTTCCTTCTTTAAACTCAATTCAATATTCTCAATTGCACAGACCCGATTTATTATTATTAATATTCTACTATTATTACTCTAAATTTTTTTTTAAATATGGCAAGTATAATGCTAACACTATTGAAAATTGTGTATTATTGCATTTTTGAAGAAACTCGAAATGGTTTCTTCAAAACACTTATGTACCCATAAGATGTTTGTGAATAATAATGATAATAGTAATGATAACAATAATAATAATAAGTAGCCCAGTGAGAAGGCCATTTGATGGCAGTCAGAAGTGACCTGATGGATAGGTGTGTTTCGTTGACTAAGTAATGGATTAACTTGATAAGCTGTGAATTCGTATCTATATACATGAATATTTGTGGATTTTGTTGTATAGCCCAATATGCTCTCCTACTCACTCTTGTGTTCTTCCTCAATTAGTCAGTCGAGAGGTTAGCAGGTAGCACATCATGGATCAGTATCATATTTCGGACATCGCACGTCACAACTATGTGTTTTACACATCCTACTTTCATGAGATTTGTTGTCAGTAATAGTTAAAGTGGTGCTGATTTTCATGAATGATGATACTCTCGGTATACGATCATGGGTTAGTTCAGGTCCTACTAAGGTTTTCAAAACTGAGCTTGACTCAGTTATTCACTCTGATATCACAGTAGTTTAGTCCGGTCTGGCTGAGCCTGTCTGCATGTCGACCTCCGACTACTTGCTGTGGAAGTCTCAAGGATTTATGCAACACATCCAAAAACCACTGTGTTGTGTCGCTACTTGATAAGCGCAAAATATGGTATACAACTATGGCAGTCAAACGTGTAGGACCCCACAATCTCACAAACAGAGGACAGAGGTAAGCTGGAGAAGAGTTTGTTGGATAAGAATCAAAATGTACAGAAAATCATGGGTATTTATAGATATTAGCGTTAGTTATAACATCATTATAATCCAGCCAATTTTCAAAAAAGCAAGTTTTGCTGCTGTCCAACCGTAGCATGTCGCGTCGGTATTCTAGAAGGCTCCATCACGTTCTCATTGGATGGAAACTCTTCCGCTCCTTTAAGGCCTCTTGAGGCTTAGTCGTAATTCTCGGAAGCTGTCCCGACATATTTAAATTGCTTACTGTCTCACCTAAAGTGACTTTAGCTCAGTTATCTTCCGAAGAACAACTAATATCGCAAGATTCCTCCCTACAGATTCTATTCCCAGCCTCACTGCTTTTCCGCCTTCTTGTCATTCAATACTATCAAAGATCAACAAATATTTGAGGAGAAAACTTTGATATATTTATTAAATTTGTACGGCTTGTCAATAAATCTATTTAATTGTTGAGTTTAAATATCATTTTATGTAGAAGTTTGATCCTCTTTTGTACTCACTACCCTGCTCCTTAGCGAATAAACTTTAAGAAGGGTAGATCGGAATTAATGATGAGGCTAACTCTCTTGTATTATTTTCGGGATCGTTGTTCATCTAACGAGTTCATAATCAGGTCACAAAATAATGTAAAAGTAACATTTAGGTTATTTAAAAGTGTTAAATTAAGTTTTTCATCCTGAAAGATTTAAAAGCTTGCGGATTTTGTCCTAATGTATTTCGGTTGAACATAAATTTACAGATAGAATCAAATCAAAAATTAATATCGATAAAAGACAGTTTTACCATTATACTGGATTTCTGATGAAATCGGCGTATTTGTATTTTGATAGATAAATGCATAACCATATAGCTTTTGTCAGAGAAGTTAATTATCTTTCATCTCGTGGTATAGATTACATAAGAATCAGTGATCATCTACCTGTACATTAAAACTATCCACCGATTCTTAGTTAAATTTCAACTTAATCATAGTCTGTGCACTCTTTTCATCACGATATTGTACGTTTATAAGATCCTTAGTTTATGTATGTATTTGCATGCATGTAAAAACCCCTAATATATGCACTTCATTACCAATAAATCACTGATCCACAGTGAAGGTACCGTTACACTGTTCGATCCCTTTATTTCTATGTATCATGTTAATGTTCGGTTCAAATGAAAATGTCACCTCATTTTATTGACGATTTTGACTTAATAATCATACTTTTGTTGTTTTGCTTTTACGAACCATCTTAATTTTCTTTCACATAACCCTATATCTTGTGGGTTATTGTTTTTATATGCCTTCATTTCAGAGATACATGGATTACATCCTTTTCCACTCATAAGAGGATGTAATAGTCAGTTACATGAAACAATTATTTTCCTTGTAAACTACATACACTTTGTTCAACAATTTGATACCCAACTGAATAAGACTAAGAATGAAAAAAAACCGAAGTAGATATGTTAAAACTGATATATTTGTAGCTAAGTAGCGAAAACATTATTTGTAAATCATCAGAGCGAGTGTACAATAGTTGCTACCGTAATGGATGTTTCGTATTTTGACTACACTTCAGATTTCGTTTATTTATTGTTCGTTAAAGGTATGGGTTTAATTATGCGACCGGCAAACAAACTAGTTTTCAGTATTTTATCATAAACATAACAAACAAATGATTCATTAACGTCAAAACGAACACTAGGGGGAGGTCTAGCGCTTCTGAAACCAATACCCATTACTGTAGCAGCTGCTGCTTCCACACCATCTTCATTTACTTTTAAAGCAACACTTTGTTGAAGAACTTGTACATGTATTTTGGCATTCGTAATTCCTACAAATTAACAACAGTCAAATAAGAAAAAAACTTTTATAAATTATCACAACATTTAACACAGTACACAGGTTGTGATCATTGAATAATGTTTGTAAGAATACTTCTTAAAAGATTGCTTACTAAAAAACAAAACCAACAAACTTCATTTTGTGTGGCATTGAATAGATATTAAAATTGTACACATTACTCACCTCCAAGATTTGCTGCATTAGAGTCAAACAAATCAGTGATATACATGGTTTTCAACGTTTCAATAAGATCAATTGAGAAATCCAATCGAAATCTTGGTAAAGATAAAGCAACTTGTTTACTTTCAAGTCTACTCACTAAATGAGGCAGTTTGATGTCACCACGTAACACTTTATCGACATATTTGAGTTTTCCGGGTTCAGTTGGCAATATCACAACAAACGAAAATCGTGAATTCTAAAATGTTCATAACAAAATGATAAAGCCATCGTAAACTTTTGCAAACCTGAAAGCTACGTGATAAAGAACAGAGTAAATTGAGAGTATGGTATTTTTTCAAAAAACAATAATTAATGCGTTGTTTCCTAATACTGGAACTAAATAGCATTGTGTGTGATGATTTTCAGTGGAACATAAAAGAGGTCTGTCGTTTGATACTTTATCAGTATAAAGAAAAAAACTGGCTCTAGTTGAACGAGAACATTTGTATATAGATAAACGACGAGAGAAGGATGTGCAACCATCGGTAAAATTATACAAAGGTGCATGACGAATCCAGGATAAAGCTAATTCAGACTGGTGTAAGTCTCTATCGATTGATAAAGGAAAAACAGTTTGCTGACTTTGAAATATTCACTAGTCATATAAAGACGATATATATATATATATATATATATATATATATAATTTTTTCCGGAAAACAAGATTTTAGTTTAACCTGTTTGTGTCCTGACTGGTCACTGAGTAGTTTAAAGTACATAAGGAACTTGGAACGATGGTAAATTTCCAGATAATAACATACATGAGTTCAAAATCTAAGTATTATTATATTGTTATTTCAACTTGTATTAAAAATGAGTCTACACTCAGTAGACTCATTAGGAGACTCGAAGATTATTTGACCAAGTACTTTACAATCATCAAATTCGGAAAATTTAGCAGTACATAATACCTACGAATAAACTGTAAGAGCTCCGTTAGCTTCCAAATCACATTTTATAATTTTTTAAAACTACTGGACCCTTAAGTTTGTATGTTCAGTATTTACTGTTCGTAATATCACATGAGAAAAATAAGTAATTTCGCCATTCTTACCATGAATGATTTACTAATCATATGAATTTTGTATTTTGGGAATGTACCATAATCAATGCTGTCGGTAATGTGCATCATCGGTATTTTTATTATGGATTGATTGTTGGGCTTAAATTTACCTTCTGTAGTCGAATAGTTGGAAAACGGTTTTTTCCATTTTCCTACAATGAATAAATTACGGAAGTGAGTAATATACATAATGTCAATACATACAATTCACATTGTCCGTTTGTTATAATAAAATGAAAATCACTGCCTGAACACTAATATACAAGATCATCTAACGATACGTATTCAAACAGATGAAATTTATAAAATGTAAAGAGACCGTTTGACTACAGGTTATTTACTCTGGTTCCATTTTTTCTGTTGTCTAATAAAGGCAGCAATGGACGCAACTGCTAGTAGAAACAATAACAACCTCTGGAGTTTGTCTGCTGGAAAAATATAAAGTTTTATGATTTCACAAAATATCGGTTAATTTGTAGATAAATTAAACTTCGACAAGATCATTAAATGATTCGTAAATCTATGATTTCCTCATGATATATAAATATAAGTGTAGGAGCTTACAGTCAGCTGTACACAAATGGTCATTGGTATTGATTTTAAAATGCCTACATTTGTTGGATCTAGGTGATTTACATATAAATATGATTTTGTTAATAAAATAAAAAGACAAAATTTATGAACAATAATCTAAATTTCTGAACTCTTTTAATCGTAATTCAAGAATTTCCGGCTGATATCTTACATTTACTCAGACATAGAATTGTCGAATTGTATATCGACAGTACGAATTAACACAATAAATAAACTGTATAGCATAATACACATTAATTTCATTCATGAAATTTAGCTAAATGAGTTTTTTTCAGTTTATGTAGAATTTGTTTTGATCATCAGTTATGAACGCTAGTAACAGGACCTGCTTGTTGAAAACTGGCACTTATCAAGCTCGAACAATTTATATTCGATTTAAATGATCTTTAAGAATGAAAGTCACTTTAAGCTTGGAGAGATCAGTGATTTATTAGAAACATGATGATATTAATATTTTAAATTGGTTATGAAAGACATTCGAATTCAATACTGGAATCAAATGTTTCTCGGTAAGTAATGCAGCTTGCTTTTAAGAAGCTTTTTTGGTTCTTACAAATATACGCTTACTAGTCCTCATGATGAGTGAAGGTCACTCTGATAGATGAATAATAAGATGATTATGTTCACTATCAACATCAGAGTAATGGTATTTTCTGTAAGATGAATTATCAGAATTCAGAATAATTAGTAGTTAACAAAATCCATTCCTGATTATCATGTTTCCAGGAATTTTTCTCCAGTTGAGAGAAGTCGGGTTTTGTATAGTTATGGATTTGGTTCAATACAAAAATTGATAATTGTTTAAATAAGTAGTATAGGAAGAACGAAGCGACATTGAAACCATCGCGTTACGCCTTCATTTGAAATTCACTAGTCACCATATTGTGAAGTTTGTTCATTATAATTTGCACCGTTAGTAACCTAAAGTTGTGGGTTTGATTTTTAAGGTTTTTAAAATGTTATTAATATTTGTTAACATATCCTTGGTATTTTGGCAAGTGACATGTGAGCTTGTTACTACTTGCATTACTGTGATTTTAGCGAAGTGATTTCAAATGACCCATAGACCAGCTGACCTAAATAGATTTAGTGAGTTGTTATTGTTCATAAATACATTAAACGGTTCTATTTCAATGACCAATTGTTGTGTTTGTTAAAAGTCATTACTTATTGAATCTATATAGGTGTTATATTTGAGAACCTTCTTCCAGTATTGATTAAACAACAATTCACATTTGACATTCATTCAATAACTTAACTGAAATAAAACCTCACATCCACAACCTTAATTTGAAATAAATATTCACTAAATAAAGTTATAGTTCATTACTCAATAATTAAATTACAGTAATTTCAATAGCTATGATCATGAGTTAATTGAAGTTAGACCACCATAGAAAACCTGGGAGTATTGGATGGTCATTTCGTCCTATTGTGGAACACATCAGCAGTTCGCGTCCACGATCCCGCTTTGTGAGATTCGAACCCAGGACATACCGGTCTAGCGCGCGAACACTTAACCACGTCTGTTGTTAGATAGTAACTCACTGAAGACAATAATGAATGTGTCTCTCAATTTCGTGGATTAGTTGAAGTGAGACATTAACACCAATGGATGCCGGCTCAGTGACCTAGAGATTAGGCGCTCGCACGCGAAACTTATAGGTCTTGGGTTCGGATCTCGCGGGTGGCGGGATCGTGGATGAAATCGCCCTCCAGTGCTTCCAGGTTTTCCGTGGTGGTCTAGCTTCAACTGACTCATAACATCAACTACTGAAATTACTATAATATCTACAAAAACCCCTTCTGAAATTAAACTATACTTTGTAAATAATTCGTGAACTATTAATCTAGAAATAATCAGGATAATTGATTCTTACTTTCACAACACAAATTACAATATAGTTCAAAATCGACTAAGGAATTTGCTGAACAACTTGGCATGTTACGACAACCATCTTTTTTACAATGTTTAGCATCTAGTATTTTGGACCATTTTTCCTGTTCACACTTAGTATGTCAGTGCTGCGTATAGGTTTTATTTTCACTGAAGATTTCATTTTAATCATCTCAGGTTATGCTTTCCATGAACAGGGCATCTCAACTTGTCAGATGAAAACAATAAATAAAGTGATAGAACTTGAAATGACGTTCCCAGTGAAAATTATACATTTTTAGACTACGATGAATCAATTAATAAACGGAAAAGTGCTAGATAGTTGTACACACAGTGAACACTGGGAATCGGATACGTTACAAATCCAAGGACATATAACCTATCCCCGTTTCTCCACAAATTGAACTTAAAATTGCTACTGATAGACATTGAAAGTTAACTACAAACAAGAAACTAGATTTGCTAAACAAGAATTCAATTACATAAAAAAAGCCATGACTAGAACTCATGAAGTAGTTAACAGTCATTTAGAATCATATTAGATTTCAGGAATATTCATAACAATTATTAACTTACCTTTAAAGTGTAAGGTATTGATTAAAGCAAGAACAGTAGTCGCTGGTAGTGGTTTCTCCAAAACAGTGGGAATCAATCGGCATGTTTTGTTACTAACCCATTCATTAATATTTTTTCTAGCATCTTCCACTTTGGCAAAATCTACCTAGATTTATATTCAAAATGTTCAACATCGAGATGATGAGTCTTTTAAATGTCAGTTATGTATTAGGTTAGTGAATGAAGCCAATTACAGATATATATATATATATATATATATATATATATATATATATATATATATATATATATATATATATATATATACTCCCCCGTGTATCTGTAATGAATTCCATAGTTTGAAATGTGTATCAATAACCAAACAGTTATTTAAATAGACGATATAACAGATTCCAACCACAAGAAAGATGGGGCTATTTTGAACACATTCTCATAATGCCCATAAGTATTTACATAGTAAGTAAAACAACGTTTTATTTACTTGAAAGATTTTATGTCTGTTGTATGAGATGTATCCTTCAAAATATCTATCATTTACAGTTTATGAAATTAAAGAAATAAACTGGACGAGTTTTGAATTTAAAAAAAATTTCAAACAGAACTCCATATTTAATGTAATGTAACCATCATTTAAAAGAACGTAACCACATTCACGTTTCCCATTTATTTGGTGGTAAATAGTTATCCATAGTTTATAAATCCTGTTATTAGTGTGAATAGAAAGTGACCCCTGAAATACCAGTTAAATGAGTCAGTTTCTTCTTCGATCACAATTTTTTTTTACGAATAATCTTTGATTTAAATGTTTGCTTAAACTCGTCATTGGCACAATAGTCGCTAATAGTAAAATTTTCTGTAAAAGTCACTTGTTACTGTAATACATTCGGTTCATTTTCATAATCAAACACAATTAATGATGAAATTATTTTCAAAGTTGTCATTTATCATTTTAAAGTTGACTAATAATGTGAAAAAGCAACAGCCTTCTGTGGGAGAGAACAAACCAGCTTCCAGATGAAGAGGAAATTAGGAAAAGACAATGGAAGTTGATAGGATATATAATACAGAAATCACCGAACTGTATCATGACGCAAACCCTAACTTGGAATCCTGAATGGGAAGCGGAAAAGAGGAAAGCTAAAGAATACACTACTTCAGGAAATGAAAGCAGATATAAAAAAGATGAATAGCAACTGGAAACAACTGGAAAGAACTGTTCAAGACAGGATTGGATGGGGAGTGTTGGTGGGCGGCCTGTGCTCCTCCACTAAGGATAACAGACGTAAGTAAGTAATAACGTGAAAAAATTTATTTTATTTACAGTATGTATTGGTTTCTTGTTTTCACTCAGTCTAGTGTTGTACCTTTCAGTGTATGAATATTTTAAAATAGCTATAACTGCTTACGTTTAATACATCATTGTAAAATATATTACTCATCCTGGTCAAGAAATTCAGTTTTATATTGGTTTTATTCTGCAAAAACATTCCATTTCCTATTGAAACAATTTGTTTTCCTTCTATTTTTTCGTCTGTCAAATTATGATATAGTAAAGCGAAAATTCGTGAAGCAAATTTTTGATCTTCTTTGACGTCATCAAGTCCTAAGGCTTCAGCAATCTGAACTTTTGTATTACCCTTGGATCCTCCTGAACCGAGAAGTGTTGTTAAAAGCAAGAACACACTTATTGGAGATGATAAATAGTCATTCGTTCCTAAAATGACGAAAATTTGCAATCGTATTAAAACATATATAGAAATGAAGAATATTTTTCACAATAAATTTTTAGAAGGGATTTTCGTGGATATTATAGTAATTTCAATTGTTAAGTTCATGAGTCAATTGAAGCTGGACCGTCATGGAAAACCTGGAATTTGCTGGAAGGCCATTTCGTCCTATTGTGGGACTCCTAAGGCGTGGTTGTGGATGCACACTGCTGAGGAATCCCACAATAAGACGAAACGGCCATCCAGTGCTTCCAGGTTTTCCATGACGATCCAGCTGCAATTGATTCATGAACTTAACAATTGAAATTACTATAATATTCACAAAAACCCCTTTCTGACATTTTAAAATCACGATTATATGACCGAAGAATATTGTTTTCAATAATTTCTCTTCAGGTTCTACAATTATCAAATCCAACTTAATAATCCATATAGTTGACCAGGTCTATGGCAGAGTACATCATCTAAAATTGTAATATATGAACTAAGGATTGTTGTTTATCATATCAAATCAAATCCTCAATGTTGGGATGAAGTGTTAAGTTGAATCAGTTTATAAGTGAAATGAAATTGTGAGATAAGTAATGATCAGAATAAATATGACCAACATGGAGTGTGTGAGAGAGAATAATGTAATTACAAATCGAAAATTACATAATATGTAGAATAATATGAATTAAGCACAAATTAGTAGATAGGGGTGGATGCTGAATAAATTTCTCAAAATGGTTAGCAAGGGTTATAATAATAATAATAACAATAATAATCACAATGCTAAGATATGTGGATAAGTTTGGGACATAAAACTGAACATTAATCAAATTACGTCACCATATTATAAAATTGATTACTAACTAGCTAAGCCCGAATTTGGTCAGGGTAAACGGACCGTCTGAATATATTTCTTTTGGATGCAAAACTCTGGCTTTTTGATCCGATTAGCAATTGCTTCAGCCATGTTTTAATATAATTAGATTATTTCAGTGAATAACATGTTTGAATATTTGAAACACAGATTAAAAGATAAGAGAAGAATTCAAACATTTATTGTCTATAACAAATAAAAAGCCCTGTATTCTAACTTTTTAGAAAAAAATTAGTACTCACTTGTTCATTATAATTATTGCAGAATTTTCACTTATACGTAATCTCAATAGTTGAGTTCATGAGTCAATTAAAGCTAGACCACCGTGGAAACCCTAGAAGCACTGGATGGTCGTTTTGTCCTATTGTGGGACTCTTCAACAGTGCACATCCACGGTCCAGACCATGGGACTCGATCCCTGGACCTATCAATCTCGCGTACGAACGCTTAACCTCTAGACCATTGAGCCGGCATCCACTGGTGTTGATGTCTAACTTCAACTAATCCACATAATTGAGTGACACATCCACCATTGTCTTCAGTGTGTTACTATCTCACAACAGACCCGGTTCAACTCCACTGGTAACTACTTTTCACGAGAACTTCAGGAAATACCTCTTGATGCCAGTCACCAGTGATCGTATATTGATTAATATCAGAAGAGATTTTTTGTGGAGATTATGGTAATTTCAATAGTTAAAGTAATAAGTCAATTGAAGCTGGACCACATAATGAATTTTATAATAAATGATACATTACTGTATTGCATAACAATATTATAATAAACAACTAGAACTTACCAGTTGCTGATATGTCCAATAGATCACGTGCAAATACATTATATCTTGGTTCATTAGTTGTGAAACCCATTTTATGATGAATATAATTTCTATTAGATAATGAACTTCCTTTATATAAAATAAATTTTTATAATTTCAATCAATAATTGACAGACAATTAGTTCCGAAATGAAAATCAATAACCGATGACAGGTAATTATTGACTATAGAATATTATGTATATATTTGACTAATTCAATTTCCTGTTATTATTACTATTATTAGTTTATTTTGTTAATTGTTAACTGGGAATTTATATGACAGATGTATTCCCTTTTATTGAATATTTATAATAGAATTCAATTATTGATAATTAAAATGTATTAATCTATAGAAGTCATTAATGTTGTATTAGTAACCATAGATATTACATAACAATGACATTGTTGTAATCAAATGTCATCTAAAACATTTTGTTTAGAGGTGTAATTAAAATTTACCTAAGTACCTTTAATAATAATAAATAACATTTACAGATTGAAATCATAAGTCAATTGAAGCTAGATCACCACGGAAAACCCGGAAGCACTGGATGGCCGTTTCGTCCTAGTATAGTTTTCCATGGTGGTCTAGCTTCAATTGACTCACGATTTCAATCTGTGAAATTTCTAAAATCTCCACAAACTCCTTCTGATAATAATCATCTTCTCACTAGCGACTGACTTCAAGAGATACTCCTGGAGTTCTAGTGAGAAGCCGTTACCAATGGAGTTCAACCAGGTCTGTTGTGAGATATCAGCTCACTGAAGACAATGGTGTACGGTGGTGCAACTTCGTAGATTGGTTGAAGTTAGACATTAACACCGTTGGATGCCGACTCAGTGGTCTAGTTGGTTAGGCGCCTGGCGCGAGACTGATAGGTCGTGGGTTCGGATCCCGCGGGGCGCGGGATCGTGAATGCGCACTGATGAGGAGTCCCATACTAGGACGGAACTGCCGTTCAGTGCTCCCAGATTTTCCATGGTGGTCTAGCTTCAATTGACTCATGATTTCAATCTGTGAAATTTCTGAAATCTCCACAAACCCCTTCTGAAAATATCATTTATTTATAACATTCTACATATGTTGGTAACACTTTTTTCTTGTGCATACAAAAATGACTACAAGTTAGTTAAAACGTCAGTTTAAATCAATATTGATTAATATAAATGATATTTATATATGTAAGGGGATTTATGGAGATTGTAGTAGTTTCAGCAGTTGAATGAATGAGTCAATGTATGATCGTTTCTTCATAGTATGGGATTCCTAGGTAGTGTACACTCACTATCCTGTATACAGGACTTGAAATCAGGAACATCATGTACATACTATTATGACTAAATAGATGATAAGTGCATACTATATTTTGATGTTAGCAACAAACACAATAAGAGAGATGAGAACTGTTTTTATCAATAAATATTTCACTCATCTATTTGTGAAACTCATTCAAGTGACTGTACACATTTCTGATGTGAACACAAATTGATCTCAGTTGAAATGTAAACAAACAAGAGAACAAAGATATTTTGTCTAGTTAGCTCGGTGGTAAAGTTTAAATGTCATAATATGAAGAGGAGTGTTAACATAGATGATTTTGTTTGTGAAAGATTAATTCAATAGTTCAATTCATTTGTCATTTGAAGTTAGATAACCGTGGAAAATCTGGTAGCGCTGGATGGTGTTTTCATAGTCTCGTGCTCGAACGCTTAACCTGTACACTAGTGATTTGACCGATAGGTCCTGGGTTCGAATCCCGAGAGAGGATTTTAGATGTGCGCTGTTGAGCAGTCCCATACAAGGACGAAACGGCCGTCCAGTGATTCCAGGCTTCCCATGGTGGTCTAGCTGTAACTGACTCATGAATTCAACTATTAAATTACTAATTTCTCCACAAAACCTGCTTCTGAAAATAATATTAATTTGATGAATCACTAGTTCATGGAATTCACATTTTCCTAAATGAAACTCAATTTAACCTTAGAGTTCAACAATTTCAGAGTTCCTAGAGTTAAATCTTATCTTAGTATCCATTTCAATCTGAATATACCATTTGTATACTTTATTTATAGTAAAGTTCAGAGAAAAGATTTAGCTGCTGGTGATGTAGTTAAGTGATACTAATCTCTTAGGTTCAGATCAATATTCTAACATCAGCCAGAGATTATTCAAATGCACTTCTAACTAAATCTTTTAATCAAATTACAGAAGTGATTTATTCTTTTGAAATTGTCGTTTCCTTTGTTCGTCAAATGAAAAAACAAACTAACAGTTTAAATACTAACATAATAAGTAAAGTAAATTATAACCAATTGGGAATTGCGTGTAAGTAGGGGAAATTCATCTATTTATTAGTTATATATATTCATATTGTTCATATAATGGTTAAAACTAATAGAAGACTTACAACAGAAATTAACTGAGATATTAAATGTAAAAGTTTGTCAATTTTCATCTGGCAATATCACAGTAAATGATAACAACGTTTAAATATCAGGTTTTTAATTCTGACTTCAATCTGATATAATATAACTGGTTTCCTTAATGGTAAACTGGACAAATTAAATAATGTAAACAGTGATGGATAGTCGCCAGCAGTGGAATTCAGGACGCCCCTTTCGTTCTATTTGCGACTCGTCAGCTGGATGTACCTGCATCTCAGAGTTGATGTTCACTCTGGAACTCGAACCCAGTACCATTCACTTCAAACGCCATCGTATTATCCACTCAGCTACTGAGTCCTGATAGCCACTGCTAGCCACTATCCATCATTGCTTACAAAAAGCTTATGAATTAAGGCAATATCGAGGCATACGCACAGTATGCACATATGCCAATAACAGACTGATCAATTGCAGTCTTAAACCTCAATGGGTAGATACAATCCAAACAATACCATGTGAAATTAAATAATGGTTCCAGAGTTTGTGCTCTTGTTGTAAAAATGATGTGAAACGAATATATCAAACCGTTTAGTTCCTTAACAAAATTTCTGCAGAAACTTTATTATATTTCAGTACTGACTGCAGTTATTTAAAGTTATCTAAACAAAATGTTTTCTGTTCTTCCGTCATTTAATTAAATCTCTATACGAATGCTCTAATCTTGGTTTCTCTAGTTTGTTTTAATTGAATTGTCCTATTCTTACATTTGATATACAGTCAGCAGTTAGTTATATTTCGGATAAAGATTTATCATTATTCCTTTAAAATGTGTCCGTAAAATGTTAACAATAACACAAGCATAGTAAATGGAAGTAATATAAGTTCAAATAAGGTTTGGTTGGAAATATGATGCCACTATTCTGTTCAAAAATAGGTTAATGTCATTTTGCAACAAAGTAATTGAAAACTTGTATGAACATTACTTGGGATGTTTTTTTAATAAGGATGATTGTATTATGAAGGAAAACAATGGTTTACCAAGTTTATCACTGAAAAGAATATTCATAACTATTCGACTATAAGAAGGTATATGTTATGAAGGAGTAAATATATAACTTAGAAAATCAACTGTATTTGTAAATTAAATTAGTTTATCAGATAGGGGGTTTTGTGGAGATTTTAATAGTTTCAGTGGTTGAAATTATGAGTCAATTGAAGCTAGACCACCATGGAAAACCTGGAAGCACTAAACGGCTGTCTCGTCCTAGTATGGGATTCCTCAGCAGTGCGCGTCCCCGATCCCACCACCCGCGAGGTCCGAACCAAGGACCTATCAGTCTCGTGCGGGAGCGCTTAACCATTAGACCACTGGGGCGGTATGCAACGGTGTTAATGTCTAACTCTAACCAATCCACGAAATTGCGCCACCGTACACCATTGTCTTCAGTGATCTGATATCTCACAACAGACCTGGTTGAACTCCATTGGTCACGGCTTCTCACTAGAACTCCAGGAAATGACTCTTGAAGTCAGTCACTAGGGGTCCTATACTAGGACGAAACGGCCGTCCAGTGCCTCCAGGTTTTCCATTGTGGTCTAGCTTCAATTGACACATGATTTCAACTATTTAAATTAGTTTAATCTTAAAATGTTTGTCAATTTGATTCATACAGAGAGTTGTTGAGTAACTAATGAACGAGTACTAATCAGATGAACCCATTTATAATACGGCTATTTATCAATATCTGATTATTTGAGGAAATGTCAAACTCCTGGCAACACAATCATCCTATTGAAATTTTCGATCTTTTTATAGTGACAAATGTTTTCACGTATACTTAACTAATAAATAACACTATTTATATTTTAAGAAAAAAAAGACAGTTAACGTTAAACCGTTTAGTTACCAGTTTGAAATATGGTCTAATGTTCAGAATTGTTCAATATAATCACCAGAAAGATTGACTAAAAATAGTGAAATATAGTTTGATTGGTAAATTGTTTACATTTTTCTGCAAGTAAATGTTTAAAAACTGCAGTTGTTTGGTCTATATCAAAGTTTACTAAAAAAAACCAGTGATATATAATGTCTTAATGTGTTGTGTAAATCAAAGAAACAGATTTTATCATCGGTCATCTACGATTAAGTTATACACAGTTTCACAATATACTCTTGTAGGCCAGGGTAATTTTACATAGGTTTTCAGGAGAACCAGACACCATCCAGACTTTTACGTGACAACCCAAACAATACAGCTCAATCCCGTTTAACAGGAGAGCCAGATACCACCTAGGCTTATATTTTGTAACCCGAGCAGTACAGCCCAATCCCGATTCATAGGAGAACCAGACACCGTATAGGCTTTAACGCTACAATCTGAACAGCACAGCTCAATCCTGTGGCGCAACCACATAGGTACCAAGTACCCTGGTGGATCATTCGCACGATCTACGATTAAACGTAATATTCAAAATTTCCAATTCATTTTACAAATTAAAATAAAACACATAAAATTAATGTTTGTCTATTCACGGATTAACACTATGAGAGATTGGTTCCCTAGTTTCGCATGAAAAAAATCATTAAGGATATGACCTAGAAGTGAATCCATCATTATACCATCAATTTGTATATAATGTTTTATTAATGACAAAATAAATATTT